CTCACAGCACCTGTGTGCAGTAGGTCAGCATTTTCTGCCTATTACAGATGGAGAAACTCAGGCACAAAGGGGCCAAAGGACCAGATCCTCAAAGGTATTGAGGCTCCTAACTTCCATTGATTTCAGTGGAAGTGAAGAGCCTCAATACCTTTGCGGACCTGGGCCAAAGTGACTTGACTAAGGTCACACAATGAATCACTGTCAAAACTGTAACTAGAACTCAGGTCTCCTGAGCCCTGGCCTCTGCTCTAATCATTGATCACACTGGACCTCAAATAATGCTGTCCCCAGAGAGACCAACTGATGTTGAGCAAACATTCTGACAGAGATCAGAGTGAGTGGAATGTGTTGCCTCCTGAGAAGCTGGTGCTTCTGAACAGATGATTGAATCACCCTTTCTGTGTCACATTGTCTTCATTTCTATCACCTGCCCCTCTGAGCAGACATGATGTCAGGCTCCTTTCACCGAAGCACAGCCAAGACTGCTCCCAGTGTCAGCGAATAGCCTGCTGAATGCACAGAGTGACACTGCTTGGCCTGGCTCTTGTTCTTCGTCCTCCTGGGGACAGGATGGCAGCTACTCATGCAAAAAGAAGAGAAGATTTAGACAGAGGGATGCTGCTCTTATCTGATTAGAGTTCCCTGATTGTGCTCCAGAGGTCTTATTCCTGGCTGAGTCTCACACAATGAGAGGTTTAAGTCATCACAAATACTGTGTATGCCAACCATGTGGCTCTAGGGCTATTTCCTTGGCTTTTGAGTTGATTTTTATAGCAATCAGGTTCTAACTTGCTACCACTAAATACATGCAGTTATTCCACCTGCTTAGGTGGATCTGACTTGCCTGTTGTTAAAGGGAAGAGAAAACTTCTGTATCTATTACTCACCTGCCTCAAGACTGACAATAACATACTCCAAATATCTGCTGAGAACCAACAGAGCATGCAAGCTCACTCCCTTGAAGAAAGCCTGTGAAGTGGGTGCCCTTTCAGAGAACAGTGACAGCCTGGTCTAGGCAGGCACCAAACACTCAGTTCAAATCCTGGCTCTAATACTAACTTGCTGCAGGGCCTTTTGTGAGTCACTCGATTTCCGTAGCTGTAAAATGGGACAAATGCTACTTACCTACCTCACGAGGGTTGTGAGGATTAATCAGTTAACGTTTGTATATTGCTTTGGAAATAAGTAGTATTGGTTAAAAACATATAAAAAACCCTGCTACAATAATGGCCCCAAATCCTGTGCTAAAATGATTATAAACTGCAGTGTCTGGGACCAGTACGATCAAATAATTCAGGATGCTTTACAAGGCCACTGGAGAAATGAGGCCTTGTAGTATTGCACTCACCTAAAGGAGGAGATAAAAAGTGCATTAGCAGATAGATAAAGAGTACCCAGCTGTCACTCCGCTCACACTCACCCTTTAGCTGGACATCATCCTTTCTCAGTCGGGCTCTCTACATGATGATGGGGATGTGTGAGTATCTCTGCAGTGGAACTTCTGTTACTGTCCCTGGGTACTTCTTGATTTCCCTAGTTCTGAAAAGCAACACCCTAGATCTGCACATCGTGTAACTTTTGTTGTTGTTGTACACTCCATGGGGCAAAAACAACGAGGAGTCTGCTGGCACCTTAAAGACTAATAGATTTATTTGGGCATAAGCTTTCGTGGGTAAAAAACCCACTTATTCAGATGGGGGGGAGGGTGCTAGTATGGAGGCATCTCTAGATTCTTAATACTAAATAGCCAGACCAGATCTTTGAAAATAACAGAACACCACTAGCTGTCACCTTCAGCCCCCAACTAAAACCTCTCCAGCGCATCATCAGAGATCTACAGCCTATCCTGAAAGATGATCCTTTACTCTCACAGATCTTGGGAGACAGACCTGTCCTCGCTTACAGACAACCCCCCAACCTAAAGCAAATACTCACCAGCAACCACACATCACTGAACAAAACCACTGACCCAGGATCCTATCCTTGTAACAAAGCCCGATGCCAACTTTGTCCACATTTCTATTCAAGAAATATTCTATTTCTATTCATCATAGGACCTAATCACATCAGCCATACCATCAGGGGCTCGTTCACCTGCACATCTACCAATGTGATATATGCCATCATGTGCCAGCAATGCCCCTCTGCCATGTACATTGGCCAAACCGGACAGTCTCTACGCAAAAGAATTAATGGACACAAATCTGACATCAGAAATCATAATACTCAAAAACCAGTGGGAGAACACTTTAACCTGTCTGGCCATTCAATGTCAGACCTGCGGGTGGCTATATTACAACAGAAAAACTTCAAAAACAGACTCCAATGAGAGAGTGCTGAGCTGGAATTGATATGCAAACTAGACACAATCAACAAAGGATTGAATAAGGACTGGGGATGGCTGAGCAATTACAAACATTGAATCTATCTCCTCTTGTAAGTATTCTCACACTTCTTATCAAACTGTCTGTACTGGGCTATCTTGATTATCACTTCAAAAGTTTTTTTTCTCTTACTTAATTGGCCTCTCAGAGTTGGTAAGACAACTCCCACCTGTTTATGCTCTCTGTATGTGTGTATATATATCTCCTCAATAT